CCACCGCCGCAATAGTCTTCACCGTCGCTTCTCTCTACACCGGAAAGCCAGTCACTTTCTCCTCAACCATCTCCGCGATTCCAAAAGTCTTCAAGAGACTGTTCATCACTTTCCTTTGGGTTGCTCTCTTGATGTTTGCGTATAACGCAGTGTTCTTCGTCTTCTTAGTGATTCTCTTAGTAGCTCTTGATTTGAACAGTGTAGGATTAGCTCTTCTTGCCGGAATTGTAATCTCTGTGCTTTACTTTGGTGTTCATGTCTATTTCACTGCTTTATGGCATCTAGGTAGTGTGATCTCTGTTCTTGAACCTGTTTATGGACTCGCCGCGATGCGAAAAGCTTACGAGTTGCTTAAAGGGAAGACTAAGATGGCTATGGTGTTGGTTTTTGTTTACCTTTTGGTATGTGGATTGATTGGTGTTGTTTTCGGATCGATTGTGGTTCATGGTGGTGGAAAGTTTGGGACTTTGACTAGGACTTTGGTTGGTGGATTGTTAGTTGGTGTTCTTGTGATGGTGAATCTTGTGGGTTTGTTGATTCAGAGTGTGTTTTATTATGTTTGTAAGAGTTATCATCATCAGAATATCGATAAGACGGCTTTGTATGATCATCTTGGTGGGTATCTTGGAGAGTATGTGCCTCTTAAAAGCAACATTCAGTTGGAGAATTTAGACATTTGAAGAAGAAGAAACAAGGATTGATTCAGGTACTGTTTCTTCTCTTATTGTCACTCTCTTGTAGCATTGGAGAAGAAGAAGAAAATGTGGAATCTGAATAATATAAGTGGTAATGTAATGTGTGATGTATAGACTCTCTCAACAGTATCTGTTGTTATTTGATTAATCCACATGAATGATTTTAAGGATTTTGAGTTTGTTGTACTTGAAGATTTGTTTGATTCTTCTAACATTGCTCATGATTATCTCTGAATCTGTGGTGATAATAAAATTCTTGTGGGAGATTGGTTTAGATGAATATAAACCTGAGAAATTGTTGGTTTAAAGATACTCAAGTTGACCATTAATGGAGGGTTAGGCTGATTTTAGATATTGGTAGTAGGAGCATTTTTTTGTAGGCTTGTTTGTTTTGTGATGTTTACTCTAACTTTATAAGCTTGAATATGTTGGTTCCATATAAAACAGAGACATTTTAACAAAACAAAAAGAAACCTTTAAGCCAGGAATAGTTTAAATTTTGGACTGAGTAGTTAGATAATGGTTTCGCTTGGTAAAATTAATTTTGGTTAAATAGCGAAAATGAAAATGTTTAACAAACAGATCTGATTTGATCCGAACCAGAATGATCCAAGAATTAATGTTATCCAAACCATACCTTACTATATAAGCATGCATAAAGATACTCAAGTTGACCATTAAAGTGTTCATTATTGGAAGAAAGGTTGGGTATGTATGATCCAAACATAAACACGCTATGGGTATTTCTAATAAGTAACCAATTTTTTTTCGAATATTTTAATCTCGTATTTTAA